GGTATCTGCTTTGGTTGAGTTGGGCAGAAGACTAGGCTGCCCTTTCTTTTCTAAATGCAAATTGAAATGTAAAATGATTTTTGCATTGGAGTCTTAGCATACCATTTTGTTTCCAACCACACCGCCATCTCATTTTCTTTGTTTTTATTTCTTGTAAGGCTACAAAAGAATGAGACAATTTTTGCAAAGTGGTTGCCAGTCTTTGGCATCCACCTGCTTATGTGCTCCCATCCCAAGGTACCCTGTCTGGTCCTCTAGCAGGTGTAGCTAGCAGCTGTAGCAGACTTCACCCAGCATGGGCAGATGGATGGGATACAGCCCACACAGTGGGATAGATTTTGAGAAAAATAATAGAGGATCAGACCTTCATCAAGGCCCGCCACAGAAATGTGGCAGCTAGGCAAAGTGTGCCAAGTTGGCAGGTGCCTGGGTCTGCTGTTGTGTGTGAGCAGTAGTAGGATTCCTGTTGGGTGGAGGCTGGCAGGCTCGGCAGAGCAGGCTGATCATTCTGCATCTCAGTTGTTTGCTGTAACCATATAGTAAATAGCTTTTGGAGCAGATTTGCAGTGAAGGTAGGATGAGGCTGCTGGCAAAGGAACCTTTGAGACTTGGGGCAGTGGAGCGAGCTTTGGTCTTCACTGAGCCATGGGACTTGGGGCAAGCTATGCATCCACTCTCACAGCTGACCTCTTCTCCTTTAGTGCAGTAGAACTACACCAGACCTGGGTGTTTCCCTGATCTCCCCCTGCTACTGTGCAAGCCTTTCCCAGAAAGGATGCACCAAGCAAGTTTGGAGGCTGCATGTGGTGGGTGGGGGTGGAATTCTTGTAAGATGAAGGGGAACTGTCTAGGATGATACCTGAGTTGGCTTTTCGTGGCAGCAACATGATAGAGGATGGTGGTGAGGCCTGCAGGGGAGGTAGGGAAAGCATTAGGCACCTGCAGGTGCTCCACTAAGGAAACAGCTGGCTTATGAGCCATGACAGCTACATAGGCCTCTGTCTGCAGCAGACATTCTGAAACAGGACAAGCAATCGAATTCTTCTTACTATGAAGCTCATTCATAGAAATTCTGGAATACTGCTTGGAGGACCTTGAGATGCAAATGGAAAAAAAAAAAAAGAGCATAGCTCTTTTGGCTTTTAATTCGTCTTCCACCTCAAGGAGAGGGTTTCCTGAGTTAGCTATCTAATGGAAATGGTTCTTGAACTATTTGATCTTTAAGGCAACATCCCCTCTCGTACTCCTCAGTGACAATCAGCAGTGGGGAGAGCACCCCAGTGGAGCAGACAAGCCCGACTGAAATTTAGAGCTCCTATTTTGTTCCTTGGGAAACTAAAGACACCTTTAGGTTGGCTATAAGATGTTTAGAATGAAAGTTTCCATACCTGTTGCAATAACCAATTGCCCCAGAGAAATATCACCAATGTGGTATATGATGGATATTATCTACAATTACATCTTCTATATCCTATAGACCAGAACATAGATTAAATTTATATCTTGCAGACTGAATACTATGTTATATATTCTACAAATATGCTGTACTATAAAATTGTATTCTCTAGTCATGTCATATATAGTTGTATTATAGGCATTAACTAATAAATTCTATTGGTTCTGTTCTCTGGAGGGCTTGACAGTGTATTTATTGTGTGTTTATGTGTGTACATACTCACATACATACATACTCACATACATACATATACACAAATACACATACATAATACATACACAAAAACATACATATGTACATGCATACATACATGAGTATGTATGTCTTCTGGGATAGCAGCAAGCTTTCTTAACTAGGAGTCATCTCTGCATCCCTACCAGAAACAATGATTTTAGGATTTCTAGGCTTGTGGTTGCTAGCTAGTACAAAATCGTTGGGAGTAGCTCATGACCTAGTGATTCAAGTTGAGATATAATATGCAGCTATCTTGGGTCTATAATCTGGAGACCCAGTCAGGATGCTTACATTCACAATCTCAAGCTGAATTCATTCTGTTTTTTGAAAAGCCTCACTCTTTGTTCACAAAGACATTTAACTAAGTGGATATGGTACCCACACACCACGGAAGACAATGTGTTTTACTTAATGCCCACCATTGCAAATGTTATTTACATTTTTAAAATATTTTCTCAGCAATGATAATCCCACATAGACATACCCAAAGGCCAACACAATGTAGACAGTCCCTCACTGTGACTTTAGGTTGTGTTGTCAAGTAGAGATAACCATAGTGAGCATCATAGCTTTTTTTTTGTCTTGTTCGTGTCCAAATTCATATGCTGAAGCCCTCTTGCCCAGCGTGATAGTATTAACAGATAAATGTGGTAAAATAACTAGATCCTGAAGGTGGCCTCCTGTGAATGGGCTCAGTGACATCATAGGATGAGGAAGGGATACGGTACCTTTCTTCTCCAAATGAGGACACAATGAGGAGATGGCCATCTGCGAACTAATAGTGCCCTCGCCAGACACTGAATCATCAGTAACTAGGGCTCAGCCTTCTCAGCCTTCAAATTTATGAGAAATAAATGTTTTTATTTAAATAATGGCATATATAATTTTATCCAGCATCCAGAACTAAGACCTTCAATGAGCAAGGTCTACAGTGTGTCCTGTCACTAATGACTACATTATATTCTTCTTATTTTACATAATACTTTCTTTCCTACCAGACAAAGTTTTTGAAGGCATGTGCCAAATCTTAAATCATTTTTTACCTGCCCCAGTTCTTGCAGTAGTGTGTCCTCAAAAATAATACATGCCGGCTGAGTTACTCTCTTGACACATATTTTTGTACTTTTTCCCTTCCCCTTTGGGATTTTGAGATATAAACTGCCCAAATATATTGGAAGCTGAAGGCATGCTTTCTGAGAGAAATCTGTATATGAAACAAATTCCTGCACAGCATCCTCATCACCATTGAAAGATGGTAACTTTTTGTTTTGAAGCTCAGTAAAGAAAATTAAGCATTCATTCTTCTAGCCAATAAAAATAGAAGCCCAATGCCTACTGCATCACCAAAGAGCAGGCAGCACATTGTCCATACTAATAAACAGATGAAGAACACAACTGAACTGGAATGCCATTTCATCCGCTAATGAATTTAAAGTTTTAGCAAGCAGAAATAGCTGTTGACATCAAAATTGTTTATTGTGCACCTCTCAATGAAGAGCTTAGAAAATGTTTGAAGCAGCTATGCCCCCAAACCTCAAAACTTAAAAGGATTAAGCCACCACAATCGACTTTCTGTTAGCAGGAATGCAGAGGACTGCAGTGGGGGATCCTCTGCAAGTCGGATGGTTTCTTCTGCATGAAATCCCCAATAAGAAAGCTTCGAGAACTCAAGAACAATGGCAATGGGTTTTTGATCCTACTGCACGTACTGGCTTTGTGGGAGCCTAGGCAGGTTGGATGCTCACCTTACTAGACCAGGATGGAGGTGGTTGGTCCTTGGACTTCCCACAGGGCAGGGAACCCTGATTGCTCTTTGGGCTGACGAGGGAGGGGAACTTGACTGGGGGAGGGGGAGGGAAATGGGAGGTGGCGACCGGGAAGAGACAGAAATCTTTAATAAATAAATAAATTAAATAATAATAATAAAAAGAAAGCTTCACAGTTTGCCAAGGGTGGAAGCTGGAGGAAGTGTGTGTATAGTAGAGAGCCCGCAGAGATATTACATAAGCAAAGAAAATCGGGCCATGCTCTAGAATGGTATTTAGAGTACACACTGGCAGGAAACGTACAAAGCAATGCACTGAAGGACTCATAAAAGACAGGACACAGGCGGGGATGTGGATGAGGATAGCTGGAGGCCTGCTCATGTGGCTAGACAAATCTTATCTCTTTTCATGTTTGCTACTTAAAGGACATTCGTCCTTAAGAATTTACAAGTGTATTACTTTTGTACCAGCCACCTCTCTGCTTCTCTTAGACTTTTACCCTAAAGCTACCTGGATCCTGGGGTATCTTTAGAGACAGGTTTTTTGTTTGTTTGTTTGTTTTACTGGCAGAAACCAAGGTCCATAAGTAAACAAATCAAATCAGGTTGAATACTTAGAGGTCTCCACTACATCAGCCACGCCTCCTGTGATGAGCACTGGACCCAGACAAGGCCTGTGTTCTTCCAGGTTGTTTAGGGGTGGTGTTCCTCTCCGTACTCAACATGCTTGCTGCCAAATGCCACATCTGGCACCAATACCCTGCCAGTTATCGGCATCACTCACTGGAACAGGGGGTGGGAACCATCCCTGATGGGTCAAGATGGGGATGACAATGGATTTATAGAGGACAATTACGTTCATTCCCAAATCCCACAAAATCCAGCACCTCCTCGCTAGAGAACATGTGGTTAGAGTTTCTAGGTTCTTGATTAATAGTGGAAGAAAAAAAAAACCACAGAGACAGAATCACCTAGAGCATCAGTGATCACATTGTCTTAAAATCTCATTCGTGACTACTTTTGAAGCCCTATTGGGACATAATAGGGACACTATTGAAAAAAAAAAAAACTGAGTATCTACATGCAAAAGAATGAAATCAAATCTGTACCTAACAGCATTCTACAACAATACCTGTCATAAATAAGCACAGGAAGAAAAGATCAGTTGTGCTCACAATTTTAAGCATTCCAACCCCTGGCTACTTGAAGGCAAGCATCATGGTAGAGAGACGGTGTTGAAACAAGGGTGCTTAACTCAAGGTAGTTTGGATAGGAAGGGGCCAGGTCCCAACATGCCTTTTAAGGGTGTATTTCCAGTGACAAATTACCTTCTTAGGTCCACTTTCTAAAGTTCCTATGACTTCTCAACTATGTCATCATCTGCCAACCAAACCTTCACCATGTAAGCCAGTGGGGGCATTCCATATCCAAACTACAACATACCATATGTAATATGAACTCAAAATGTGTTGAAGTACTAAATGTAAGCCCTGAAACCATGGGAAACAGAAGGGAAAAAAAAAGACTTGTTGATATTGGCTTCAGAATCATTTTTTTTATTACCACACAGAAATCTCAGGCAAAAAGAATAAAAATAAACATGTGGGAGTATAATAAATTAAAAACTTATGCACAGCTAAAGAAACAATCAACAAAGTGAAAAACACAAGCAATGAGTTTAGGAAAAAATATCCCTATGCTATCTATCCCATAAAATACGTAGGACATTCATGTAATTTAAAGTAAAAGTACACAGTTGCTTTTTGAGACTCATGACTGTCATCACAATACTCGGAAGGCTAGGACAGGAGGATTGTCATGAGTTCAAAGCCATCCTGATTTACAGCGAGAATTCTAGGCCATTTGGGACTGTAGAATGAAAGATCCTATTTCTGAAAACAAATACTAAAAAAGGTCAAAACCCAAATAAACTAGTAAAAATAATGAGCAGAAAATCCTAATAATCAAGGCTAATAGGTGTGTGAAAGGTATATGGACATAGGTAAATATAAACTATAAGACACACATACTATATATGTATTTTGATGGTGAGTCTGCTTACTTATTAGTATAATTTCATTCAACCAAAAGGTACAGAAGCAAAAAAAATGGTATTACATTAGTTACTTTTCTTATTGCTTTGATAAAATACCTGACCAAAGAAACTTAAGGAAAAATATGTTTGGCTCAATGTTTAAAGTGATACAGTCCCTCATGTTTGGAAAGCAAGAAGCAGAAGCCTGGGTAACTGAACCACATTGTGTCCACAGCCAAGAAAGAGAGAGAGAGAGAGAGAGAGAGAGAGAGAGAGAGAGGGAGGGAGGGAGAGAGAGAGAGAGAGAGAGAGAGAGAGATGCTGATACTCAGCTTTCTTTCTCCCTTCCTCTTTTTTTTTTTCCAGACCAGTATACCCATGGGATGTTGGTACCCATATTCAGGGCAAGTCTTCTCTCTTCAGTTAAACCTCTCTGGAAACAACCACACAGACACGCCTAAAGATGTGTCTAAGGGGTTATGCTACATAGAGTCAAGCTGACAGTGACTATTAACTGCCACAGGGTTAACTACAAAAGCGGTTAATGTGGCAATATCACTTTAATGTATATAGTTTTCTACACACAGAAGTTTCTCACCAGAGGAGATAGCATAGAACATCCTCAGCAGTCCATATCTGAAATTTCCTGGTGAGAGGTAAGAAGAATAAGTGTCTTCTATAACTTTTCAGCCAATTATTTAGTTTCACCATTTCCTTGTGTTTTCAAACACTCTAATTTTTCCTTTATTTTATACTTAAGAATTTTTTTATTTTTAAGATGTGTGTGTGTGTATGTGTGTGTGTGTGTGTGTGTTTTTTGAGACAGTATTTTTCTGTATAACAGTCCTGGCTGTACTGGAACTTGCTTTGTAGACCAGGCTGGCCTCACTGAGTTCTGCCTGCCTCTGCCTCCCAAGTGCTGGGATTAAGGGTGTGTACCACCACTGCCTGGTTTAGGATTACTTTTTTTAAAGGAACTTGTAAATCTTCATAATTTATTGAAGTCTCCAGTGAAAACCACTAGCAAGACCAGAGCATCTTTGGTTTAGTAATCTATAAACAAACGATTTCTTCCTCCCACACCTCCTATGTGATGTGATGCCAAATACCTTGAAATCACCACTAGAATGAAGGAGATGCTGGCACCTGCATTTGAACCTCCAGAACTGTGGGTCATAGGAATCCTCTTTCATTTCTAGCTATTCTGCCTTGGGTATTTCATTATAGTAACGGGAACCAAAGATGAAAAATGAGCAAGAGGAAAAGCTGTTTGTTGGAATACTAATTCTTCTCTTGAATGACTTTCATTGGTAAGTGTTTTTTTTTTATTTCTGTGAAATAAAGATCATTTTTCATTCAAATTGTGATTAAAATGTGATACATAAAAATCCCTAAGGACTAAGGGGTGGACAGAAAGCTAGAGGCAGACTGGGGGTTTGACCATTTACACGTTCTGAAGGAAGTTCCCCAACAAACTAAAGATGTTCCACTGGTCCTGTTTTTTTAGACATCCTACCACTTCTTAATATTGTCCCCACTGGCAATCAAGATTTCAATACATGGACATCTGGAGACAAATCACAGCACCTAATATCACCATCTAATATCAATGGACATTTCAAAATGGGATGAATTTGTACACCAATATATTGTATGTACAAACTGTTCCTATTTCTTATACAGCGTGTATCAACTATATAAGCTTGTTTGCATTGTTTAGAGTAAGTCAGCAAGGCATAGCTGCATGCTGGCAGACCAGAGACATTTATGCTCCAAGCCACTCACAGAACTCTCTAACTAAAATTAATGTTCGAGGTCCATCACCTTGGGAACAACAGGGGAACATTACCCCAGGTGGTCTGTGCTCTGTCACTTTCTCCCATCCCTTTCAACTGACAGTGTTCAAGAAAGAAAGGAAATTTAATATTGATGTCACGAGCTAATTACTATTACATGTGGAAATTGAGATTTTTAGAAAGAAATTACATGATCAAATTAAAGGTTTTTTTTCCCCCTCAGTTATCCATTTACTCATCCCCTTCCAATAAAGTGGTTGATTCATTCCAAGTAGACTACAAATTATGTTTCCGGATATTCAGATTGAAGATATTCATTACCAGTATTCCTCAAGGGCTGTCAAATCTAGATTAGAGAAAGAAAAAAGGAATAAATGATTCATATGTGCACACACGCGCGTGCCCACCCACCCACCCACACCCACACCCACACTCACTGCAGTATCTAATCATACACAAAGGAGCCTGAACAATCACAACTAGTAAGAGCAGAGGTTCAACTTAGGTTAACTCTACATCAGTTTCCCACTGGCAGTTTTCAGTGACCTTTCCTCAGAAACTATAGAGGTTTTAACCTTTGAAGTTCACCACAGGAATTGGCTAACTACCATGTTATAAAAATTTCTCATCTGCATCATCACAGGAAGAGAGCCTAGAGCAGTGGTTCTCAACCATCCTAATGTTGAGACCCTTTAATACAGTTCTGCATGATGTGGTGACCCCAAGCCATAAAATTATTGTCATTTCTACACATTAGATAATATAAATATCTAATATGCAGGGTATCTGATATGTGACCCTTGTGAGAAGGTCATCAGCCCCCTCCCCCCGCATGGGGTCAATAAATATCTAATATGCAGAGTATCTGATATGTGACCCTTGTGAGAAGGTCATCAGCCCCCTACCCCTGCATGGGGTCAGAACCCACAAGTTGAGAACCGCCACTGGCCTAGAGAGTAACATGGCTGTAGTTTCCATGACTTAACCATACGGTTGATTGATTCATAAATCATAAGCATGAATGAAAAGTTTCCACCTAACAAGTAGAAAGCACATGTGTATTCTGGTTACTTTTAACTGTTAACTTGATACAACCTCCTTACTTGAGAAGAGAACCTCAGGAGAGGAATTACCTGGATCAGCATGTCTGTAAAGAACTGTTATAACTGTTAATTGAAGTGAGAAGACCCAGTCCGTTGTGGACAGCCTAGGCAGGGGAGCCCTGACTATATAAAGATCAAAACCAAACAAACAAACAAAGCTAGCTGAAAGGAGAAAGGATACATTCGTTCTCTTTGCACTACACTGTGGATGCAATGTGACTAGATACTCGAGTTCCTGCCTTGATTTCCCCTTAGTGACAGACTAAAATTTTAAGCAAATAAACCCATTCCTCTCCTATATTGATTTTTCGCAGGACATTTTATTATAGCCACATAGACAAAACTGGGGCAATATGCTACCTGCTCTGGCACAGGGTGTCTGTCATAGGTATGCAGAGCATTCACAGTGATGATTAAAAATAAAATCATTGGAGGCATAAGACACCTGTGATGACCTTCATGAGTAAGGGCTGCTCCAGCCACGTTGAGTAAGTAGTACAGCCCTCACAACTGTAGACTTCAAATTCAAGGGGGAATGTGGGTGAAAAGCAATTGATTTATGATGTAAAAAGAGATATGACTTGAGAGGACTGAAATGCCAAGAAGGAGGCACCTAATCGAATTCATCCTCACAAAGAGCAAGATGGGTGTGGGAGGATTGCAGTGTGGATGTTTGTTGAACTGAACTCAGTGACTTCCCTCAATGCCTTAGACACTCATCATTGATTGTGAGAGGAGACTTATGAGTCATTCTTGACTCTTGATATTAATCACCACGTATGTGTCTCATTATCTTTTAGAGACATTCATGCAAAAAGGAAAGAGTTGCCGCATCGTTAATGTACAGGCATAGAACTCTTTGCTGTAAAAGGAGTCCTTCAAGCAATGATGCAGAAAACATCTTTGGGCTGATGAATATGCATAGAGCACCTACTATTTTAAAGGCATTGGGGTGTCTACAGTTCTTGTCTTCACAGGTCTTCAATGTAAGGGAGTGTGTACAGGCAAGCTGGTGAGCAGGAAACAGAAAAAAATGGAGAGACAATAAGAGAGGAAGAGGAGGCCAAAGTATCTATATAAATCATCAGAGAAAGGATATTTTCCTATAAATGAAGATGCAGATGAGAATGTCGGTGCAGAAGGACTCGCAGCCTTGGTGTATTTGCTTCAAGAAGAGAATAAAGAAAGAATTCAGAGCAATGGGGAGGTGCCTAAAATCCAACTTGGGAAAGTAACTGTGGCAGGTCATCTCACACGGTACCTCTTCCAGGAAGGCTTGCCTCTCCCAGTCTGGAGAAACTTCCTTTCTTGGGCTCACTTGGGCCTAATTACTAGTTTCATACTTTTATTTACCATTTAGAAAAAATTTACCCTGCCTATTGTATGTATGTGTCTATTATTAAGCTCTAAAGTATTAAGACTGGCCACGTGCCTTGGTTTTGTGACCTTGGAACCCATGTTTAATACTTGTTTCATGACTGTTCAGAAGAACTGAGCACTATACTTGGTACAGAGTACAATTCCCTGCAGAGTTTGGTAGGCTAAGCAATGCCACAAATTAAGGATTAAAAGGTACATAAATCATCTTTCCAAGGTTATCATTGCAAATTGCAAAAAATTACCCAGAGAGACTGTTATAACTAAAGATCTTCAGGACTTGGATTCAGAAGGCCTAGAATTGGGGCAGAAAATAGCTTTTCCATGGCTTTAGTGCCTAGAGGCCCTACCCTTACCTCCACTTTGAGGAATTCTTCTATACCTGATGGCAATGTATCTTTCTAATTAATTGTACAGTTAATTCCTTTAATAGGAGCAATTTGTATATATCACACTGTCTAACAAACCTTAACAATGTTATTGCAACTGAATTTTGAGTTTTTAAATAGTTCCTTGGGTAAAACAAAAATAGTTCTTGTTTGTTTGTTTATTGTGGTGCTGGAGATCAAATGTAAGCCTTGTGCATTCCTAAGCAAACTCTATACAACTGGGCTACTACCCTTCAGGTCACCTTCTTGCTCCCTTTCATTTTGGTGGCTCTGATGCTCAAACCTGAGGTCTTGAGCATGCTAGGGAATGCTGGGACCATTTCTGCTAGTCTGTTAGTCTGGTGTCACCTTAGCATACAAACCTGAACCACCATGGAACATCACAGAATAACAGAGGTAAAAAAAAAAAAAAAGACCTAGAGGTGGGGATCAGCACTGAGAATCTGAGTCACGTGGGCATGACACACAGTTCCTGATGTATTTGTGAACTCATTGTAGTTGTGGTTGCCAGCAGAAGAGCTGTGTGAGACTGAGCCTATCAAAATTTCATCACGGGAAGGGGAAGGGCTCAGGAGTCCACACCCTTCCCTGAGGGACTTTTGACAGTGAATGATGGTTAGGGGAAGGGTGTCGCTACACCATTGATAAGTTGCTCATGCTTCAAAAAATAACCTCCATCGGTATTCATTTTAACTCAGTGGGTCACAGATACAAAAAAAGATATTAAAATTAAGAGGGGTACTTAGTAAGAAGGAGGGTTTCAGCAGAAGAGAAGGAACTGAAAATAGGGTAAGAGTGGGCAAAAGTGACCAAAATTTATTATATATAATATAAACTATGTATATATATTCACATATGAATGAATGAAACAGACAAAAATAAAGACTTAGTCAGAATACTTGATCCTACTTAAAGAAAAAAAAACCTGTAGGTAGGACTGAATAACAAAGCCTCTGAGTCTCCACTTAGATCTAAAATGACCTCAAACATAAATAGGAGGTAAACAGTTATCTTAGAAGAATTTTAAACAAATGTGACTAACAAGAGTTAAAGAACTAAGGGACTTGGGAGATGGTACTAATACCCAATTATCTCAATATTAGATTCAATGAATCTTAGTTTCATCACTGACTGTCTTCAAAAATCTGAATGGCTGGGAATTATGGGAAATGTCACTCAGTGTGTCAGTAAATTCTCTATATTACTTAGAGTTGTAAAGAAAATAAATCTCCATTCACCCCACTGTGATTTAAGAATCAGGACCAAGATTTCATAAACAAGGATGCAGAAAGGCAAGTGCACTGGCCAATACACTGATTTGATTTGCAGACCCTGCTCTGTCTTCAAGCCATTGTAGGTAGCTGTTCTCAACAACCCCAGTGAAGGTCAACAACACAGCCTGTCTTGCAATGAGAGGAGCCTGAGGAGCCTGCTTTAAATTCTGTGAGCATCTCCTAGACTGCAGAAGCCCTCTGAAATACTCATTAGGAGAGTTAGCGAGGACAGAAAGATTGTAGCACATAACAGATCATTTCACGGGCACTTTGCCAGACATTTGGGAAGCTGTACCACAAAGATGTCTTACTAGGAGATGTTTAGAAAGTGCAATGCTATGGATCTCTAATGACACTTTTAAAAAGAATTGAGGACACTGATTTTCCTATTATTCCCAATGTCTTGAGGCCCTAAAATATTATTCTAGTTATTTTGAGACTAAAGCATAATTCTATGACTGTTGTTAGGTTTTATCAGTAAAAGAAAATGTTCTTCACGTGCTGATGGGGCTGTTCACCTATGTGGCCCTCACCATCTCTCATTCAGCTGAGACCTGCCACAAACACCAGATTCTGGCATCTTTGATTAGACAGTGATGATGTCAAAGGCAGCACTTACTTAGCCCAGGTGGTGGCTTTGAAATATCTGGCAAGGCTGAGAAACAGCGGCTTCGCAACGACTTGGGTAGAAAAGAGAAATGCACATTGATTTTTATTTAAATGACCGTGATTTGAGCAAAGTTCAAGAATTAGAGCATCAACTTTGGAAAAGTTACTTACATGCTGTTGTGACCACCACTGTACAGGTAAAGATGCTGGCTAATTCTCCTCCCATAAACCACCTGAAAAAACACAATTGTGTCATTGTAGCATATTAATCCTGTAATCCCAGGACATCCAGTGTTCTTTCAGACCAAGAATAGACTCTGAATGTCAAGATTGAAGAAAGTATGTAATATATACATATTAGAGCACTACTCTAGAGCTAAATAAGAAGGTGAACCCAAAGAAAAACATATAGGCATCCTCCTGGATATTAGCCTTCATCAGGTGATGAAAGGAGACAGAGACAGAGTCCCACATTGGAGCACGGGACTGAAATCCCAAGGTCCAAATCAGGAGCAGAAGGAGAGAGAGCACGAGCAAGGAACTCAGGACCACGAGGGGTGCACCCACACACTGAGACAATGGGGATTTTCTATCGGGAACTCACCAAAGCCAGCTGAACTGGGTCTGAAAAAGCATGGGAATAAAACCGGACTCGCTGAAAATAGTGGACAAGGAGGACAGCTGAGAAGTCAAGAACAATGGCCCTGGGTTTTGATCCTACTGCACGTACTGGCTTTGTGGGAGCCTAGACTGTTTGAATGCTCACCTTACTAGACCTGGAAGGAGGTGGGAGGTCCTTGGACTTCCCACAGGGCAGGGAACCCTGACTGCTCTTTGGGCTGACAAGGGAGGGGGAGTTGATTGGGGGAGGGGGAGGGAAATGGGAGGCGGTGGTGGGGAGGAGGCAGAAATTTTTAATAAATAAATAAATAAAGATTGACTGTATAGATGCAGAATGAAAATAGTATGTTTTAGCAAAAGGACAGACAGGGCGACAAAAGAGACAAAGAACCCTGAACTAGAAACACATCGATACACTAAATGGATTTTTTTAAAAAAAGTATTTATTTTTGGTTTTGTTATGTGTGTTTCTATGCAAGCAGGAAGGACAGTATGTTCCTGCAAGTACGGAGCCCTCAAAGGTGGATGTCAGAGATGATATGAGATCACCCTGTAGCTGAAGTTACAAGCTATTATGAGCCACCCAATGAGGGGTTTGGAACCTGAACTTGGGACCGCTGTAAGAGCTTTTGTTCTTTTTTTTTTCTCTTAGTAGATTTATTGGCAAACTACACACAGTAGAAAGAAACCTCACTGGACAAACTAGGGCAGTAGAAATTCTTCCAGTGAAGACATTACACAAAAAAACTGAGGAAAAGAAGAGAGCAGCCAAGAGCTCGAAGACAATCCCAGTCTCTCTAACATGCAGAACTGATGTCCTCCTTGACAGAGAAGAAGGAAAACACTCCAGAAAGAATGATCAAAAGTAATGGTGAAGAGCTTTCCAAAATCTATTGCTGTGCTCTGGAGTGCGGAATATTTCCCATTGCCACATTTATCTCAACTTGGTCTCCAGTAGGTGACACTGTTTGCCAAAGTCATGGGGTCTGAGGAAGGAAGTGATCGTGTGGAAAGGTATTGAGAGTTTTTAATTGACTTATTTCACTTTGCTCTCTTTCAATTTGCTTCATTTTTTAAACTTATTTTTAAATTTTTTATTGTTTTTATTGAGCTATATCTTTTTCTCCATCCCCCCCATTCCTCTCCCCTCTCCTTCTACCCTCAGCCATGGTCTCCATGTTCCCAATTTACTCAGGAGATCTTGTCTTTTACTGCTTCCCATGTACATTAGATCCATGTAGGTTTCTCTTAGGGTCCTCTTTGTTGTCTAGGTTTTCTGGGATTGTGAATTGTAGGCTGGTTTTTCTTTGCTTTATTTTTAAAAGCTACTTATGAGTGAGTACATATGATATTTGTCTTTCTGGGTCTGGGTTACATCACTCAATATGATGTTTTCTAGATACATCTATTTGCCCTCAAATTTCAAGATGTCATTACTTTTTTTTCTGCTGTGTAGTACTTCATTGTGTAAATGTACCATATTTTCCTTATCCATTCTTCAGTCAAGGGGCATCTAGGTTGTTTCCAGGTTCTGGCTATGACAAACAATGCTGCTAGGAATGTAGTTAAGCACATGTCCTTGTGGTACATTGAGCATCATTTGGGTATATACCCAAAAGTAGTATTGCTGGGTCTTGAGGAAGGTTGTTTCCTAATTTTCTGAGAAATCACCATACTGATATCCAAAGGGGCTGTACCAGCTTGCATTCCCACTAGCAATGCACGAGTGTTCCCTTTACCCTATGTTCTCTCCAGAATAGGTTGTCATCAGTGTTTTTGATCTTGGCCATTCTCAGAGGTATAAGATGGAATCTCAGAGTTGTTTTGATTTGCATTTCTCTGATGTCTAAGGATGTTGAGCATTTCCTTAAGTGTCTTTCAGGCATTTGAGATTCATCTGTTGAGAGTTCTCTGTCGAGATCTGTACCCCATTTTTTTGTTGGGTTATTTGTTCTTTTGATGTCAAGTTTCTTGAGTTCATTGTATATTTTGGAGATCAGTCCTCTTTTGGATATGGGGTTGGTGAAGATCTTTTCCCATCCTGTAGGCTGCCGTTTTGTCTTGTTGACTGTGTCCTTCACTATACAGAAGGTTTTTCTTCAGTTTCGGGAGGTCCCATTTATTGTTTCTCTAAGTGTCTGTGCTACTGGAGCTATATTTAGGAAGTGGTCTCCTGTTCCAGTATGTTCAAATATACTCCCCCTCTTTCTCTTTTATGAGGTTCAGCATGGTTGGTTTTATGTTGAGGTCTTTAATCCATTTGGACTTGAGTTTTGTGCCTGGCAATAGATATAGATCTATTTTCACCTTCCTACATGTTCATAGCCAGTTATGCCAGTACCATTTGTTTAATAAGCTTTTTTCTATTTTATATTTTTTGCTTCTTTTTCAAATATTAGGTGTTTGTAGATATGTGGATTGATGTCTGGGGCTTTTATTCAGTTCCATTGGTCCTCCTGTCTGTTGTTATGCCAACCCCAGGCTGTTTTTAGTACTGTAGCTCTGTAGTAGAGTTTAAAGTCAGGGATTGTAATGCCTCCATTAGTTCCTTTAATGTTTTCTTTGACCATTGAGTCTATTTCCTCTATTGTATCTTCAGTGCTTGAGATTCTCTCTTTCTTCTCTTGTATTCTCTGGTTTATGCTTGCATTTATGGCTCCTGATCATCTTCTCACAACTTCCATTTCTATAATTCCCTCAGTTTATGTTTTCTTTATTGTCTCTATTTTGGTTTTCAAGTCTTGAATCATTCCTTTCATCTGTTTCATTGTTTTTACTTGATTTCTTTTAGGGATTTGTTGATTTCTTCCAATCTTTTGTTTGTCTTTTCCTCCATTTTTTGAGGGAATTTTTCATTTCTTCTTTAAGGGCCTCAATCAGTCTCCTAAAGATAGTTTTTAGGTCTCTTTCTTCTGCTTCATCTGTATTTGGGTGTTTAAGCCTTGTTGTTGTAGAGCCACTAGTTTTAGTTGGTGTTGTGTTGCTCTTTGTGGTGTTGAGTATGTTCTTATCTTGTTTACCGATATTTTCCTCTGATTAGTGTAGTTGGGGCTGTGTTTCTGGTGACCAATCTTCCAGGTGCCAATTGATCCAAGGCTCAGATGGTTGCTCCTCATGGTGCAATCAGGGCCACGGCTTCAGTCACCCAGGAGGTCACAGGGTGTTCCTGGAGGTTGCTCATAGATCCTGGGGATCACTCTGCAATCCCTGGGGTCATTTGGGCCTGCTCCTACAGAGGTTGCTTGCTTGGGGCTGCTTCTGCTGAGGTCGCTGCCTTGGGCCTGCTCTGAAGGAGGTCACTGACTCAGGTCTATTCCCACAGATGTCCCTGGCTTGGTCCTGCTCCTGCAGAGGTCCTTGGTTTGGGCCCAGTCCTGAAGAGGTCTCTGGCTTGGACCTGCTCCCTCAGCCTTCATCCCTTGTACCTGTTCCTGTGGAGGTCACTGCCTTGGAAGAGCATTCATTCTTAACTGGTGAGCCTTCTCTGTCATCCTGTAGACTGATTTCTCACAGAAATGTAAAAGCCATTCAATGGAAAGAAAGTACTTTTAACAAAAGCATATATCTTACCTCACATAACATTTAAAGTAAAATGAATCAGAGACAACAATATAAACCATAGAGTATAATACTTGCAAAAGAAATCAAAGATTAAATCTGTATGACCTTGTATTTGGCAAGGAATTGTTAAGTACAGTATAGAGTGCAGAGTCTATTGAAAGAAAAAACTTGAATAATTGAACTTTCTGAAGATTAAGGAGCAAAAGCTTTTCTCCAGGAAGAACAGTGTCAAGAGGATGAAAAGACAATGCAAATTCAGTAGAAAATATCTGCAAATCACAAATCTACCAAAGGCCTCCTGTCCAGAATACGTAAGAGGGTCTGAATAATAACAAAGCATAATGGCATATATATGAAATACCATAATGAAATCCATTACTTTGTATGATAATTTAAAAATAAAACTCAACAACCAGAAAACAAACAACCTTCCAAATGGGTAGAAAATATGAACACACATCATATGTCAACCAAGATACCATGTATATGAAGATCAGCATGTAAACATCATTTGTCATTAGACAATGCAAGCTAATTTATCAGAATAGCTCTAACTGCAATGCTGAGCAATAATTGAGCATTTATCAGAACAGTTAAGCCTCTAAATGGCCAAAACAAGTGACAGAGAGGATGCAGGGCCATCATTGCTAATGGGAAGAAAAATGGTGAAAATATTTTGGAATAGTTTGGCACTTCTTCAAAATTAAAGACAGACTTATTATATTATCCTACATTTTCACTCATTGGTTCATATCCAGCTCAATCAAGCCTTCCTTCTTTGTATAGATTTTATTAAAAAATTTTAAAAATTGAAGCCAGCATTAAGCATAACCATTGATTTTGCATCAGACTGCCTCTTAAGCGGGTATTAGTTACTAATTCAAAAACTCCTGCACATATACAGTAAGACTGAATCAATTCAGTGCAAAGTAGTGAAAATCAGTTTCATGACTGCCAGGACAGAAACCTGTGGACAACTGAGGTGACAGGAAAACCTGGAATGAATCGTATGATATTGGGTTAGGATTAGATATATTAATATAAACACACTTGAGTTACTATATGTGTTTATATATACATAATTTCCACGCATGTGCGTGTCAAGGGTATTGTATATGCACAAATATCCTTCATTTCTGTCTTACATGGCCTAGAAGCAATGACGTTTTAATACCAATGAGTACACTTAGCACCCTGACCTATTCTGCGGATTTCAGAGAAATGACTAAAGCTAGGGCAGATACAAGATGAGTCTGAATTATTTGTTACTTAATTGTTTTCTAAAAAATATAAGAAAAAATGGAAGTACTAAGGAATGATGATTCATAATATATTTTGAGGCAGAAATAAGATTTACTGATTGGGAAATTAGAATAAAGGCATGAGGAGAATATAAACCCAATGTGACTAAGGATATTTGGTTGAGCTGGCCAAGTGAATGTCAATTTTGCTCACAAGCCTTATCTCATCAGTTTAAAGGGACATGTACATTCTTTCAAATCAGGAGTCAACTTACAGATGATAGTGACTCACTATCACTGTCAGCAAATGGTGGTGGATTCTCACTGGACTATGTCTTCATATTTTTATTCCTTATTGCTATACTGTTATTATTTCAGTTAAAATGTGTACATTTTATACATGTTGGCTGACTTGAATTGCTATTAAGTTTTCTTTTTCTAAGAAAAGCAAAAGCCAGGTGTGGTAGTACATGCCGGTAATTCTAGAACTTGGGTGATAGAATCAAGAGGTAGAGAAGTACAGCTGCATAGAGAATTAAAGAGCATCCTGGGTTATAGGAAACACACACACACACACGTAAATCTAAAATATAAAGGTATAGGAAAGGGCCATAGTAGCCACTCTGCAAGATTGCAAGAGTTCTTGATAGAAGTATTGAGCAAGAAAAAATTTTAAGTGAACAAACCATACTGCTGAATTATAATCCCAGACTGCAAATTAAAATTCAGTAAAGTGAGAGGATGATAGAGAGGGCGAAGGGATGAGTATTATCAGAATGTGTTATACACGTGTATGAAATTGTCAAAGAATAAATTCAGTGAAGGTCATTTTAAAAAGTCTATAGAGATATGAGTTGATATTTAAATTTGGGTTTACCAGTTTTCACCCAATGGCCTTTTTCTGTTCGGGGATCCCATCCAGGAACCCCATTACATTTAGTTGTCATGTCTCCTTGGGCTCCTCTGGGATATAACAACAAGGTCCTGATGGCCGTACTGGCTTTGAGGAGGACTTCTAATGTGCTGAATGTCCTTCTTTTGGATTTTTCTCATGCCTAGACCAGGGTTTGGGGCATGGAGGTAAAGTTCCACTCTTACTGCCCCCTGCCAAGGGCACATACGATAATCAGTCTCATCTCATTGATGTTGTTGACCTTGGTCACCAGAGGTGGTGCCAACCAGCTCTTGTCCCCATATTCCACAGACACCATTTCTCCTCTCTTCCTTTAGCTACCCTTTGGAAATCAGTTTCTAAACACAGCTCACACAAAGGTAACATAGAGTTAAGCTCTACTTCTCAAGGCTGAATGCATTCACATAGGTTAACTCACGAGGAAAGTTTCACTGACAGCCCTGTCTAATGGGGTTTCCTGACCAACTTGGAAGTTTGGAGCACACTTAGTTAAAAGAATACTGATTGTGATTGCTCTGCATAATTTCTTCCAGTCATCATTGTCCTAACTGACATTATCAGTTTCCAGCTTGGGCTATGCAATGAAGAATGTTACAATCCATTTTTAGCCACAGAGCATTCTCCTTTTGTTCTTTTGGTCCCATTGTGATCTAAAATCTTTCTCAAACCTCATAATTAAGTGGGAGGCTTGTTTTAAAATACCAATTCTCAATAGGACTAAATTCATATCTCAGATGAGAGGATCTAGGAGTTGGTATTATAAAAATCAACCTTCCTGAGCCATACAGAGACATTTGACACTCAGGATGCAGGAATTTAGAGTGTGTAGCATTTTCCCACCAGAGTCCAAAGACTGTGGAGCTTTCAGGGCTTCACTGTTATTTTTGTCTCATCCACTCAAACAAAAATATCAATAAACTATTGTCACTAAGGATATGGAAGTAAGGACAATACATCGGTGGCCCTTCTGGATTGTCCATATTCTATAAGAAATACTTTAAATTTTACCTATTTTGTGTGTGCATGCAACCTAATTGTAAGATTTATGTGAGTACATGTGCATATGTTTTCATGGTGCATGTGTGTAATGGGGTAAGTTTCAGAACTCGGTTTTCTTGTTCCAGTGTGGGTTCCAGGTATTGAACTCAGGACATGAAAAATTAATAACATAATTGCCCGACAGTAACTATTCCAAAAGACTCAACCCAGGCCCAAAAATTTCTCCCAGCCCAATGCAACCTTCATCCAAGTACTTCTATAGGGACATTTGCCCAACAACTTCCTTTCAGTCTCAATACATCATTCTTATTCTCAGTCATTGTGGCCAAGCATTGTCATTTCAAACTATGTGATATATTTCTCTTTATTTCTCCCTTTATAAACACACCTTATTTTAGCCTCTGAATCCACCCATGGCTGCCTATGTGTTTCCAAGCAGCAATCTGTTAGTTCCAAATAAGTATTGTTACTCTTTAGAAAACATCTTTTGATTCTTCAGTATTTTAGGATACAAACTACAATAGGAGAAGTGCAGACTCAATGGGGATTTCAAGTGTTCTGGAATGCATTGGAATGGGAATGTAGATTGTAACTACCCTTGCCACCACTGCTTAAACAGAAGATAGCACATGGTAAAATCCATTTCTAATCAAGGTACACTGGCTTCTTTATGTACTGCAGAGGATGGAGGGGCTATGTAAAGAATAAAAGGTACTATCATGGCAGATAAATGAACAAGTCTTAGCTATTGAGCTGCCTAAAATGGTTTGTAAAAGGGGGGAAGGAAATCATCTACCAATTACAGCTCCTCATTGATTATGAATTGTTAATGCAAGAAAGCAAAACTAGAGTTACCGTGCACATGCAGAGATGATTAAGCACACTGTGAGCAGGATTGCTTGAAGGGAGATCTTATGCATCAGACCAGCTTCTGCAGGACAAAAAAGAAATGAGTCATAGATTTCTGATTAAATATCTCTGAAGAACAAATTCCTGCCAACGCTGCTTCACAGTTTTTAAATGTATGCCAGTTTAAACAATTGACCATCAGTAACAAGGTGGAATGATGACTCAGTGTTTAAGAGCACGCCTAATACCTATACGGTAGGTAGCTCACATCTCTAGTTCCAGGGGATCTTATGCCTTCTTCTGGCCTCTGTTGACTCCTGCACAGACATGGTACTTATAAGCTCATGCAGATATGTATATATACTCATAAATTTGAAAGATCTTTTCTTAAAAATTATGTCAGATTATATGAATCCATTGATTAGAAAATTCCACAGTCAATGAAAAAAATCCTTTTATAACAAGAGTCTATATTCTAAATCTCCCTGCCTTGCTGTTTGCTTTGATATTGGAGGAAGCCTTTGTAGAGCTTATGCTAAAGTCAGAACTTTTAAAATGTGATGATGATTATGACTGTGCCAGACACAACAATAATAAAACCGCCTACAGTTTACAGAGCACTTTGTTATTCACACACTTTTCATACGTTAGATTACTTCATCAGCCCCAAACCATGCAAAGTAGGGAGCATGTGGATGAGTAGACCAAGACTGAGAGACATGATGCAATAGTCCAAAATCAGACAGCTATGAGGTGCCAGCACCAAGATTTAAAAACCACATCTAGACAGGACATAATATTTTGTCTGAAATGAGGCATAGAAAAACAATTGCCACTTCACATACTGGAAATCTCTAAAGACCAAAAAGACAAAAAAATATGTATTATGAAATAGTCCTTTCAAAACTCTGAAAGCACTGAACTATTTCAACATTGTCAAATCATGGTAAAAAGAAGTACAAAGCTTCTAGCAGTTACAGCCACAAGAATCATGACTATCATGACCTTGAGTCTCAGACTAACACCTGTAAGAAATCAGAGCTGAGTTAGATTACCACCACATGAGGACTTTAAAAAATATCTATGAATAGATTTCTATTTAATTTTCCCCAAAGGCTTCAGGGGTTTAATTTTACAATAGTTGTTTAAAACTCAGAAGAAGTTTTACTGTGAGTGTTTTTATTTTTGTGATTTATGCTGAATATCGGGTAGAGTTAGCTATAAATCTCACTGAGCCCCTGGTGCGAGTGGAATCCTGAAGTCTGGCAATTCAAACTGGAGCAGTAGTAAATTATGTCACTCAAAGTGTGGAGGATTTATGTATACTGTGTGAATTAAATAAATTATTGTGGGTTCAGTGGAATGTCAACCATCCATCTAAAGTGTGTTTGAATCGTCTATCTATCCAGATTTCATGGGCAATTAGGAAAATAAATCCAGCTTGAGACACACACACACAAAAAAAAAAGATCACTGGCTGTGCACACAGAAGGGTGAGTGGGTGTATCTTTGAATTTGATAAAGAAATCAGATGTGTGACTTTGGACCTGATGTTCATGCTCCTTCTGTGACAAATGACTTGGTACCTATTTTGACTTGACTTATCAGGAATCTGGCCTTGATTCCTCCAACCTCTCCCAACCTGTAGATGCTTTCTCTGTCCTCCCACTTTACTACCTTCCATTTACTTTAACATCTTTTCACATTTAAGATTTTTTTTGTTTCATTTCTCTATTCCCAACTGGAAAAATATCTGCCCCTACACACCATCTACCTCCTGGTTTTGAAGGCAATGCCATATTCTTGGTGGGGAAACACATTTTACTGCTAAAGGGAACAGCTGTTTATTTTTTTTTTTATCCCAGCATCTGATACATTCAATGACTTCTGGAACATCACATACTCATCAAGAAAGTGACTGCTTTTGTCATGAAAATGGAATCCTCCCAGAACTGATGTAACAATTTCAGGTCTCATATCATAACTATAAATGAATGAAATCTCTCCTGACAGATTAGAAATCTGAAAGGTATTTGTTTGCAGAATCACAAGGAGCCATCATGGGAAGATGGGCTCTGAGGAAAAACACCAACACAGAAGAGAGGGCAGGGGGCAAAGACTGGTAAACGGGTCTCTGCTAGGAATTAGCACTTGCAGGAGACAGTACATCCTATCTCTGTAACTTAGGCCTGGAACTCAAAAGCCATGACTAATACAAATAATGATGCAGGGCAGTGTTCTAAACGTCTTCTGTACCACCTGGAACAGAATGCTCCTACACATACAGAGCAGAAGTGATGGAGATGGCCAAGAAAGTCAGAGCTCAGCAATAAAGGACAATAAATATTTCAGTGAAACAATACATGCAAAGTGCCCTGGAATCATAAAAAAATAGTTTATTTCATCCACCAACCAGAAAGATTCAAAGAAGGTCCATCAGAGGTAGTCCCATTTAGAGTGGGCTTTGATGAAGAACAGGGGCCATCCAGGTACAGCAGGTACAACAGACACCCCAGATACAACAAGAGCATGCATTTGTCACGGTCACATCCTTGGCCATGAATACAAAGGCTTACTCCATCTGTAAAATGTTAGTAACTCATCTGCACAATAAACAGATACACTTAGAAATTGCTTCACCACAATCAGGGAGAACTTGTCCTGCCCGGGCACCTTAGTTAGGGATCAGAGAATGAGGAGAAATACAGACAAGCATGCAATAGTGGTGCAGCTCATGGGCATGATAAAGAGGAGTTTTGGGGAGCAGAATTGTAAGGGTTAGACTCCCTGGAAGGGGTGGCTGCTGAGTCTCAGTAGCCTGGCACTTAACCAGGAACTCAAAGCTAGCTTTTCTGTTATTGAAGAAACTCCTGCATGGGGAACTTAAAGAACCTTGGGCACTTCCTGAACAGTGAGAATATTAAGCACAGGGCATGAGTGAGTCTTTGGAGGGATACTCAGTGGGACACTATTCACTCGTGGTTTATCAAGGTAAATAAAGACAAGATCATGTCCACTCAATCTCTGCCCCCTGCAATGATAACCTCAAATCTGTTCGGTATTCATGTGGACAAGACACATTAAATCGTTCGGGCCATTTTAGACACGGCAAAGTAAAAAGTAGGATTAACTCTCTGCACAGAGGCAGGATTAAATGTTAGAGTTTGGCAACCTGCTTGCAGAGCCTGTTTAGGTTAATGCCACACCACAGCTCCTGGCATCCACACATCCAAAGAGTCTGGAATGTTCAGATGAAAGTTCCATCCCAAGCCCCCTCCCCTGGGAGTTGCCTCAGTCCAGACTCTACCTCCAAAAAAGTCCACCAAACAATGACACCCCCTCCCCAGAGATGCTAAAGACCACTCCCACAGGGTATTTAAATTGTCCCCCAGAGAACAAACACATGGTTTTCTGGTCTTCCTTTCTAGTCTCCTCTCTGGGGGGCTAGAAGGCCACCTGGGAGCATTGATATCCATTAAACCTAGGCTTTTCTCATTTTGATTGATTTGGTCTGATTTGGATTATTGCATGGGTGGAGAGGTTTATCGGGGCACAGAAACTTTCCATCTGAAGGTCCCACCAAGAGGTTGTTTTTCTCACCTGCCCAGGGCCAAATGGTAAGAAAGCACCCTCCCTTGCACCTGCTCTCCACCAGGCTAAGCTTGGCTTCGTCTGGGTAAGTTCCTAGTTCCAAGTCAATTGCCTTAGAAGCCCAGGGCCTCATGCAATTTTCAGACTGTCCTACGAAAGACGTGGCCAAACCTGACCTGACCGGGACAAGGACCTGCCTTGTCCGTGTGGGATTCCTTTTTTAGGAGATGCCCTTTTGTAGATATTTCTTACACCCCTCTGTTTTCTTGATCCAAAGTCTACCACAGTGGATGCATTGCACTAGGCTATGGATCCTGGCATAGACTTGCAAAATGGTCACCTACAATTCGAGGCCTAATCTCCAAATGCTCTTGGGCTACCTTTTAAGCCTGCCAATTTAACAAAGTCTTTTTTAAATTGGGGCTATCGACCACAATATGTCCCTAATGCCTAAAAATTTTTTTTTGCAGGCATGAGAACAAGTAAACACCACCCACCCCCACCCCACCCTAAACCCCAGCTGCAATGCCCATAGTTTCTGGATGCTGTGCTCCCGCTCCTCCTCCCCACCTCTCTCTTAGCGGTTTGCTGTTTGTCTGCATTCCTGGCATGTGATCTGGTCACGCTAGGATTCTCCTTACAATGGATCTGTTCCCCATGTCCTTCCACTCTAAAACGGCATAGGTGTTCCGTCCTTTTGTTTCTGTTCTTCCTGACAGCATCTACTGATCTGACCCTTAATGAGACCACCTGTGTACTCGCCTGCTTTTAGCAGCCTATTCCAAAATTTTTAAGCTGGTCAGCTGACACAGGTTCCTAAAAAATGTTTTGTCCATCTGTCTGTTAATATATATGTGTAAACAATGTGACCACAATATGCTTGTTTTATGTCTGTGTGTGTTTGTGTGCTTGCTTTAGAATCTGTAAAACTTGTAACTCCAGATTACAACAGCTCTGGGAAAATACAAACATGTGGATAGCCACCATTTTTGGCTGAAGTCAAAGTAAAAACCTCAGTGCCATCCTTGGTAAGAGTACCCACATGTGCTGGCCCTATCAAGGAGACATTCTGCCTCCAATATACTTTGGCTTACTAAAATATTCTTTCTAATCTTCTTGCCTCTACTGACATTGGTAAGCTGTAACTGATTGGGTAAACTATATGTCCAAATTTAACTTATGTCTAACTTAAATACACCTGACAGATAGTGGTACCCTGACTCTCAAGTACCTTTACAGATTTGAAAGTATGACATTTAACAAAAGTCAATCTTATGACAGAGAGACATGCCAGCTTCTGCAGCATCCTATAACTTCTCCAAGAAGATGCATGCTTGTAGAAGACTGTCCTGGAGGCTTGCCCTTGGATATGGCAAAGCCACTCACACAGCAGAAAGGTGCCTTCCACCTCATCTACTTCCTGGACACTACACTAAGGGATCAATCGTTTCATCCTGCCAAGACAGGTAGACTGAACCCTACCCCCACAAAAAAAATTCACCAGACCTCCTGGGCTCAGCAACTAAAGGCAAGTACTGCATCTAAGACTGGTATTTGCTAACGACTACAGAGAGACTTGGGACTGCCGGCTGCCTTGCTTCTGCTCATTTACTTATCCCTCTCAGATCTGTCTGATGGCATTTGATGACTTAAGGTACTGGTAGCTCATTATTTCCTTTGTTAAGATCCCTGCTAAAAATACAGACAGGTGTACCTCTTTCACGGGCTTCATAGTCCAAAATTAACAGGTTTAAGATGTCTCTTCAGAGGTTCAAAGTTTCCAATTTCTTTTAATTGTCTTCTAAAATGTTTGTGCCTTTTCACCTAAAGTTTGCTATGACACCAAGATGTAAATGTGTTCCAGCTGTCTTACAGAGACCTATAGGTTCATTGGGAAAGTTCTGCTGCTGTATCAAGAAATCTGGTCTGAGCCTGGGTCAAAACTGGTCTCGCTGAACATAGTGGACAAGGAGGACTACTGAGACCTCAAGAACAATGGCAACGGGTTTTTGATTCTACTGGACCTATTGGTTTCGTGGGAGCCTAGGCAGTTTCGTGGATGCTCACCTTACTAGACCTGGATGGAGGTGGGTGGTCCTTGGACTTCCCACAGGGCAGTGAACCCTGATTGCTTTTTGGGCTGACGAGGGAGGGGGACTTGATTGGGGGAGGGGGAGGGAAAGGGGAGACGGCGGTGGGGAAGAGACAGAAATCTTTAATAAATAAATAAATTAATTAAAAAAAAAAAGAAATCTGGTCTGGTGAATAGCCTCCAGAGTCTATTTTGATCCCGCTCATTTTCAAGCATATTTTACAGGTCACTCCTGTTGTCTGGACCAAGATCAACTTACAGAGGGCCCTCCAGATAATGCCAGCACCTGCACTAGCTCCTGGAACTTCACCGTTGGTACCACCTCTCCCAGCTAAAATGGGCACCTACCCAACAACTAAATTCTGCTTTTAAAGGGAATATCAGTTCTCATGTCTCACTTATTCACCTGAGCCTCTCCTGTACAACCAGGGCAGTTCTTTCTGGTAGGTCATCCCCCTTCCCATCGCTAGCCTCATTTATAGGACCAGTAATAACAATCTATTTTTTCTCCTAGCAACCTGCCTTCTCATCTCCCTCAAGAAACAGATGCCTGGCAGAATAGCTGTTAATCAGAAGCCTCTCCAACCACACCTCCCACTGAGTGTGAGCCCACTAACTGCCAACTCTCCCCTCCCCCACATTGCCCTATGCCCGCAGGAAGTAGCCAGACTTGACTTAGCACCCCTATACCCAAAGAGTCTGGGATGTTTGGTTGGAAGTGTCACCTCAGCCCCTGACATCCATATACCCAAAAAATCTGGAATGTTTGGGTTAAAGCCACACCACAGGCCCTAGCAAACATATATCCAAATAGTCTGGAATGTTTGGATGGAAGTTCCATCCCAAACCCCCTCCCCTGGGAGTTGCTTCAGTACAGACCCCACCTTCGAGAAAGCCCACCAAACAATAACCCCTCCCCAGAGATGCTCAAGACCACTCCCACAGGGTATTTAAATTGTACCCCAGAGAACAAACACATGGTTTTTCTGTCTTCCTTCCCCACCTCCTCTTTTGAGTGCTGGAAGGCCACCCAGGAACATTGGTATCCATTAAACCTGGGCTTTTTCTAATTTTGTTTCATTTGATCTGATTTGGATTATTGCATTGAAAAGAGGCTTATCGGTGTGCAAAAACTTTTCAGAGTCTAGCACATTTTCTTCCCTATGGTGACTCGTAGAGCTGTAAATTATGAGTGGAGGCCTGAACTTAAATAATCGGCAAACTCAACAGAACCAGCCCAGCTCTTCTTCCCTGGATGAGACTGCATGAAAACGTCATTAATGGAGTCGGCAGCACACCGGTGAGCTTCTTTCATTACTCACGTAAGGATATACCAAGAGCTGAATACCATTTTCCTTCCTGGGGGCCTATCACTAAAAGGTGTGTTTTTCTTCTCTTCAATGTTTCTCTTCTTTTTGAGTATGCCAAGCACACAGCTCGAAAATCAAGGCACAAATAATAGAGACCTGTGCTCCTTCTCAGCTTTATTGAAACCTGATGCTTATCAGGCATCAAGGTTCTTGAAAAAGAAGGCACTGTAAAGTCAGGGCTGCTGAGGACTACATGACTACACTCAAAGGCAGGCACTTCCTCTGCATCATCTGCACACCACCTAAGCTGCTCCTTCCTCCAGCAGGTTGATACCAGTTCCTTAGCACATATTAGTCACTGTTACCTCGTTCTCAGATGGCAAAAAGAAAGAATTCTTTGGGTGTGGCAAAGATTAAAAAAGACTCACTAGAATGCACTGAAATGTTCTTTTGGAAATGTCCTGATGTTCTCATCTGAGGCTGAAGAGAGGAACTCTCGGAGCTTTCTTTGAGATGCTGAGACAGGATGTGGCCAGAAGAGGAGGCTTCTGAAGTGTCTGGGATTGGCTTCTGAGACTCCCATCCATCACTCAGGGAAGAACAGTTCAGATCACTTCCTGGGAAAGCAAAAGAGTTAATCTCTCTCTCTCTCTCTCTCTCTCTCTCTCTCTCTCTCTCTCTCTCTCCCCATCTCCCTTTCCCACTCTCTTCCTGTGTGTGTGTGTGTATGTGTGTGTGTGTGTGCGCACGCGCATGCATGCATGTGTGTGTGTGTGCGCGTGCGTGCATGCGTGCATGTGTGTGTGTGTGTGTACATCCAATGATGCTATTGTAGTTTTATTTCTCTTGTTATGATGAAACACCCTGACCTAAAGCAATTTAGGGGAAAAATTGTATTTGGCTTATAGTTCCAGGTTACAGACCATCATTTCGAGTAAGTTAAGGAAATAACTCAAGCAGCTAGTCACGGAGCACCCCCACCCCCAGCAATATTTAGAAGAAAGAAGTCCACTCGTACCAACTGCTTGTTTCTGCTCAGATAGCTTTTTTATTCTTACACTGTCCGGGGTGCCAGCCTAGGAATTGGTGCATCTCACAGTGGGCTAAATCAATTAATAAGCAAGATAATTGCCCACAGACTTGCCCACAGGCCAACCTGATCTAGACAAATCCTAGGTTGTGTCAAGTTGACAGTAGAAATTGATCAACAAAGCTGACCTATGTACAGTTCCCAACAATCAGTGTCTACTGCGCTAGTGGGGGAGAGGAGGAGGAGCCTTTCTGGATAAGATGGTATTTTAATATGTCCCCATCCTTTGGGGTCTAAAAGACTTATCTTCAGAATGCTAAGCAAAAATAAGAGGGATGAGAGTTTTGTGAGGGAGGACAAGTATAGCGGTGACAATAACATGACTCCATAGAATCCAGGAAAATATAATCTTACAACAAGATAGAGGACAGATCACAGAACACACTGACTTCCCAAGGGTAGGGGATCCATTTACAGATGATGGGGAGTGATGAACTGTGCCTTAGTAAGGCTGTCACCATGTACACATTCATGTGGTATTTCAACTAGGTAAAATAACATACACTATGATATATATAGTAAAATCCAGGTGGCCCTGGAAGAAATCATGAAATGGTATTCTAATACCCATGTAGGCAAGGAGATGTGTTATCTCATCCTCAGCCTCCATGTGATGTTAGATGGTGAATGGATTTTTTTGAAGTATACGTGTGAGCAATTGAGCATCACATTTTTACAACATTAAACTTCATAACAAAGATAATTCCTCCTTCCAATTTGCATTTCACTTATTTGGCATCTATTGAATGTGACTGTATATCAGACCATGCTGTTGAGAAGCAATAGTCAATTAGACACATGTCACCATTTGTTTCATGAGGTTTATATTCAGGTAGGAAGTAAGTGGCAGAATATATTGTGATAGGTGTCGCTATGGAAATCCACTGTCTATAAAACACATGGAAACACGGAATGAACTATTGAATAGCAAATACATGCTTTGTTTTATCATTCACAGAGGATACTTGGTGCAAATAGTTTATAAAACACACATGTGCTCTCTTATAATGGTTCGTTTATAAATACATTTTACTAACTCTGGAACTAGACTACCAATGCCTCTCAAAGAATGGTCAAGTTTAATCTCAAATCCTGTAACACAAAAAGTTGAAACATGCTAAGATAACTCCTAGGAACATCTGGTATCCTCAACATGGGTCACTTGGTTGCTGACTCTTGAGCTGAATCTAAGGTTAAAAGACCCCAAACCTTCCAAGTTAGAACGTTGCTGGAAAGAATGAAATCAGTAAGTAAGGATGACTTTCAACTATATAGGTAGTGCCTCCCCTTAACCCACCAAAATCCACTGATTTGATTCATCTGGAATGAATGTCCTAAGAATTCTCAAGGCTCCGGCTTTGATGGTCTGTGTGATATCTACCCAAAGCTTAGTTTCACTCCCCTGTCTGTAGGTGAGAACTTAAGACAATGCAGAACACTCTGGCTTGTAGACACAGACATTCACAAAGAGCAGGCAGAAGTGCTGCCTGGAATGCAGGTGTTTCCTGGGCTGGCTTAAAGGATGGCAAGTATCCAACACACATTCTTTTCAAGCTGTGTACTTAAACTCAAAAGAAAAGGTCATTCCCAGCAGGCAAGCTGAGGCCACTCACACCCCTAAACAAGAGCTGTGGCTGAAACTGACAGGGATTGGGGGATGGAAAGGAGCATTTGAAAGTCATAACTAAATGGTTCTTGTTGAAATGGTGCTATAGCGCATGAAGAAAGGCTCCTTATTCTTAAAAGAGGCAGAAAATGAGAACCAAGTCCCTGCAGGGTTGAAATACTCTATTCTCCCCATGAAAAGATGAGGGGAAAAAAACAAAACAAAACAAAATGAACAAAAGTTTGTTCAATAGCTCAAGCCCACTCAGGAAACTATCTCCTTGAAACTCTCTTGAAAGTGGGTTTCAAGTTCAAATTTATACTGATCCAAGGAGTTAATATTTCTTCCACCAGTGTTGGCCCTCGATAACTGCCAGGAGCCAGTATAAAGCCTAGGTATAGCATTACTCCATCCAAGCTGCGTGGCTTCCTTCAGAGAATGTCTAAGAGAGCTGTTCACAATCCCACATTGCGAAATGTACAGAGATATCATCTCACATGGCAAAGAAAAACAAATGTGGTCGTGAAAGATGGAGAACCCTAGGTAATAGGTGCCCAGAGTACTCTTGCCATCATTGCTTGGATTTCAGTTTTGACCTGCTGGCCTGGTATTTGGGGAAATTGTTCTAACTTATTTTTGTTTGTTTGGAAGCCTCATCCCATCCCCTTGCATCAATTTATCCAAAGAGTCTGGAATGTTCAGACGGAAGTTCCATCCTAAGCTCCCTCCCACTAGGAGTTGCCTCAATTCAGACTCCACCCCAGAGAAAGCTCACCAAACTATGACCCCTCCAGGGATACTCAAGACCACTCCCACAGGGTATTTAAACTGCCTCCCAGAGAACAAACTTCCAGTCTTCCTTCCCTGTCTCCTCTCTAGGAGGCTAGAAAGTCATCCAGGAGCATTTGTATCCATTAAACTTGGGCTTTTTCTAATTTGGTTTGATTTGGCCTGATTCTGATTATTGCATCAGTGGAGAGACTTATTGGGGTGCAGAAACTTTTTAATTTTATTTCAGGGAAGATGATGGAGTGGAGATGGATATTTTGTTTTTCTTTCATTTGCAATATCACCTGATTTTTTCGATTAGACAAGAATTTTAGGGTTCATAGGAGTCTTGGTTCCATGTCTAGTGGAATATTCAGATCACAGATTCAAAATGTTCGCTGAGTCCATATATCTCTGGTCACTTATATTTATATGGGAGGGATAAAAGGGAGCAGAGACAGACACTGACCCAAGGGAGGTGAAAATCCTAGTGTGAAGAGGGGCGGGGGAGCTCAATCAGGGGGAGACAGGAAGAAAAGCCTTGTTGGTTGGGTAGAGATGCATGTAACCAGATCTTATTGATTAAAATACATCATAAAATTGGATGGAAACTGCCAAGTCTTAGGCTTCAGGAAATCTGGAATATGAATTATAATAAGAGTGACATAGGTCATTTTATTTTAATTTTATGATCTCTAATTTCTTCATCTCTAAAGCAGATAGTTTCCAACTTCCACAGTGATGTGATGACTGAGGAAGATGAGGAGCAATGTAAACATCTCATGGCGTGGGATAGATGAAGGACTGGAAGCTTTTACTATTAATATGGATTATAATATGCAGAGTTTGTGGTCGAGTGTGGGATGGTCACTTCGGGGGTGGAGACAGGAAGATCTGGGTTGTCATTAAATGATGTTTCCAGATGGGAAAGATTATCCAGAGTATCTCCTTGGCAAAAGGAAGACTTTTTTTTTAAATTTTGAATTGGACATCTAGGAAATTGTCCCTCCATGAAAGGATTTCTTGATTCTTCCCCCAGATTCTTCTAGGCTCCATTACTTACCGCGTACTCTAACCTCCCCTGAATTTACTGTGGGATAAATGATATCCTCTGCCACCTGCTCCTTACCGGGCTGAATGTGTAGTGAAAGGATCTCCAGAAAGGACACAACCGAAGTGTGGTGGGGAATAGCTATGGCCTAAAATGATTTTAGAGGGAGCAGAAACTGAAGAAAAGGGGGAGAGAAAAGAAGCACTCTGGAAGGCAGTTTTTTTTCCCATGCATTAGGAACCTCGAGGGAAGCAAGCTGAAGTTGATCAGTCCTAGTAAACAATCAGAAAGACTTTTTCTGGTTCCACTGCTGTCAGGGAAAGCCCAACACATGAGAAGACAGAGGAAAGATGCCAGATGGGAGAAAGACAGAAGCAAGGCAGGCTCCAGTGACACCTCAGGGAAATCCTCAAGCCAGAGGATTTAAGAAACTGCCGCAAAACTTGGAAAAGACAGGTGATTTGCAGAAGTAGAGAGAAGTCTATTTATTTCCTTGATGCACTTATATTCCCAGAACTAGAGGAGCCAAGTTGTATTACAGGGGAAGTCTAGAAAAGAATGCCTGTGTCTACCTGGGAGAACACAGGAAGGTTTCACAGAGGAGGCAGAGCTGAAGCAGAAAGCTGGAGGATGAGCAGGAATTCTACTAGAAGGTAGTAGGAAGATAATGGGCCAGGCACAGGGGGAGGAGATGAGAGGGAAGGGAGGGCAAAGCCAAGACATCAGTCTCAAGAGACAATAGGGTAGGTTCCCAGTGAGCTAGATGGCTAGATGGAAGAATGAGCTTGGTGAAGAAGACTTGAAGATGATTCTCATTGGACTAAGACAATATGATATTTTCAAAGCCTCCTGTCATGTTCGGGTTTCTAAGACTATTCTATTAGGAATTTGGAGTCACTAATGAGTCTCCAGAGTGAATGGGACACAAGCCTCCTGGCTAAAACACTCTAAGCAGTGAGCCCTTAGAGCTCCTGAGTCCTCATTGGAACTAGAATGGGTTTGGGACTACTAAGACACTTGGGGTCCCCTTATAGCAAGAGTTTTTACTTATGAGATATTTTGTCTTCCCCGGGACTCTTTGATAACATCTGAAGGCGCTGTT